AGTAATACACGTAGTATATTTTATTGTTGGCTATTTTGCCGTCTATTTTTATTTTTATATTTAAATATCCTTGCTTTTTTATATAAATTTTAGTTTTCCAATTTTGAGTTACGCATTTACCTACGTATTATATATCCAACCTAATTACCTAAAAATGATTTTTTGTTACCTTACATAAGAAACTTTTTGTTTACCAACCATTGTTGCTAGAATTGGATTTACTTGTAGTTAAATAAAAATAAATCAAAGTTTTTTTGTTATTTTAAGTAAGTTGGAACGCAGTGCGTGAAAAATTGACCTTTGCCTAACAGGGGGTGAAAATCTAGATGATCTAAAATGGCGCTAACACGCAACACAAGCTGCTTTACATACTGCTTATGTGCAATAATGGTATGTACTTTATTAATAATAGTCTCTAAAACTGTTATTATTAAAAATTATAGTAATACTGTTTTGATTAATTTGTTTTTGTTCGAAGCAACACGACTTAGTGAAAAGCTTTTTGCATGCGTTGCAGCAGTAAAAAAACTTTTTTACGACACCATACTAAATATATTACGTTTTAAAAAATACCTGGGTAATAAATATTTTAAAAGAATTTAATATTTAACGAGGTTTATGTTCTCACAAAGTAGATGGCTGTAAAATTTAAAGTGTTAATTTTAAATTTGTATTGCTTTAATTAGAACTACTGCAACATAAAGTTACAAGTAGACACTTTGCGTTCGGAAAACGAAGGTAAAGTTTTGGTGAAAGAGGAACTCTAATTTGTTCACAAATACATGTGTACGGTGGTCTTGCTACACAATCCGTAACAGTAATCCGTAGATTTAAACAGTCGTTATTGTTGAATTATAATCCCCTCGAGTAGAAAATATTTTACATGTAAAAGTGTTCCTAAATTTTTAATGTTTTTCGAGCCTTCTCGTTAATCAAATGAGATTAACATGCCGACAATCCACACGAATTATGGAGGAAATTAGCGATTAAATAATGGCAATGTCGGGCAAGGTTAAGTACCTTCTAAATGGATAATTTTAATATTCTTTAAACTTATCTTAATTTATTGCTATTTGCAATGATCAACTGAAAATAATCTATTATCCTAATCTTATGTAGAAAATAAATGAGCTATGATAACTTACACATAATTTATTGTTCCCTTCCCACATAGAAAAAGCGCTTTGATATAGTCAATAACAATGCTATAATTGATTGTTTTTTCATTTCTTCAATAAAAGTTAAAGTTTATTTAATCAAAAATGTTTGGAGCAATTGAGGGTAAGGGATTGATGTTATTACAAATATTATATTCAGCCCATAAGAAAATATTATCAAGTTAAAACTACTTGTTATAGAGTAAATGGCTCTTTAGATTTAAACCTAATAGAAATGTGTACTTCCTTGGAAATTTTAGAAATGATTGCCATCAAAGTTTATCTGATCAAGGTAAAATTAACAATATTTAATTAAATATAACATTGATTTATATTAAAAGTTATAATGCTTCAACCAAAAATTATAAACAAATGAAATAAGAATAGTTTTTGTTTCTTTTAATGTTTATGATTTTTATTCCAATGGAAACTTAGTAAGTTATTACTGTCTTACAGTGAATACCAATGTTTTCACTGTCTTCAAAAATACTTGTTATTTGCTCAATTATCATTCCCATTTTTTCAATGCGGCCTATATTCAATTTAATGATTGCTAAAATTTATACAAACGCGCCAGGGCATCCCCTGCCACACCACACATTGGCAACCTGCAATCGCTTTCGTGATCAACTGATTAATCGGTATTTCTGGTGGCGCCGATTGATGTAAGTGTATGAGTTATCTCTGGATGGGGTAGTATTAGGTTGTTTGTTATATTTGCTTGGGGGTTGTACTTTCTAATCCCGAATTTGCAGATTCCAAACTTTTACCACTAATTATAATTGGAAAGCGGCTTTGCGCATGTGTGCGGATATTTTATGTCAAAAGCAAAAAGTTTGAAAATTTGCCAGTGAAGGTAAGGTTATATAAATATTATTGTAATGGTTGTAAAAAATATTATTTTAATATAATTAATATTGTTTATGTCAGGTTAAGAAGAATGGAAAATCTTTTAGCAAATTCCCTTAATTTTAGATGTTAATTTTGTGCATTGTGAATGATCGTTTTGTGTTAAATATAAGTATAATTGAAACCACTAATTTTTTCCACTAATTACGAGGTCCTGAATGAGGAGGCTTAATTATATAAGAGTAAAATGAAACGATATAGATTATAAGCTTGTTAAGATTTTTAGAAATTTCTAAAATTTGCGGATAGGGGTCAAACCCCCTATCCACCCGTACGTTCCAAAATACATAATAAATTTTGATTTTTATTAAAGAAATAAGAAAATCTAAATATTTTCATTTTTAAAAATTTTGATTGAAAGTTTAAAACGGTCAGTTTAATTAAAATCGCAAATAATAATGAAAAGCGATAAATTTAAAACTTGTATTCGGGAAAACACAACATTGACATATTTACTTATTGCATGTATTTTCATGTGCTTTTCATGCGTATATTTTACTCAACATTGATCAACTCTATAGCTAAACGAACGTACATACGTTCTGATTGTAAATTTAAACTTCGTTTCGCGTGTAAGCCTCGTTTAATTTCCATAAATGAAAATTACCGAGGAACGCTCCCGCTGTTGTCTTGTCTAATAACAAAAAACTTTTCTCATGTTTTTAATTACTTTTAACATATATTTATTCTTATTGTTGGGGAAATTTACTTGGAAAATGCTATACAGCTATAAAATGCAATTATTTACTGCTAAAAGTTTTTAAACTGTTGTAAAATTTAACTTCTCTTCTTTACAAATTATTTCTTTACATGCACTATCAATTTTTAAGTAATTTCTGTTCACCATTCTTATAATTTACTTTCGTAAGAAGTTCTCGATGAAGTAGATAATTATTAACCGACAAGTTATTTTATAAATATCGTCCATTTTTTTTCCTCTTTTTGAAAATATTTTTTCCAATTCATTCAAGTTCTTTTTATAATTTGCTGAAAATTGCGACGACAGAAAAATTAATAAGGTGACGATTTGATATCGGATCTTAACTGCCGACGAATATTTAAGGAAAATGATGGGAAAGAGGCAAGTTTATTTATTTATAGACCCTAATTGAGGGGCCAGTGCAAGAAGTCGGTATACACTACCTTAAAAGGAATAATTATTAGTCAAAAATAACTAGTTGTCAACAGTCAATTTATATGTAGAATTGTCCGCTAAATCCGATCATCAAAAGTTATAAAAGAAAATTGACTATATCCCAAAAAAAAAAAATCAGCGGACAATTTTACAAAGAAATTGACTGCTAAATATCCAAGTTAAAAATTGCTTTTGATTATAATTATAGATCAAACATGCAAAAGCCGATAAATCCATTTTAAATTATTTTGAGGTATTGGTCAAAAATGTGTACAGCCCAGTCCCCCAAATATTTAAAAACTATTAGGAATGTTGCTCCTGTTGGGTTGTCTCTGTTTCGGTTTTTCCTTAAAATGCTGTTCCAAGTTAAAAGTGTTTACCAAAATTAGTAAGAATCGGTACTATTCTTTTAAAATGTAAAAATAGATTTATCGGTTTTTCCATGTGTGCTCCACAATTATATAGCAGCCACTCTTTTTCGCTAAGACAATTAGTCATTTTTAATTAATTTATTTTAAGAGAGAAAATAATAAAATTTTATGGTAGGTAAGAAAAACGGTCTCTCATAAAGTCACCTTCAATAAATTAACATTTTTTAAATTTTATATTCACTCCTGGCTGCAATCGACAAACTCTGTGCCGAGAACTTCTGTTCAAACCATTAGATTAATTTACCCCCTGTAAAATTTTATTGTTATTGAGATACCTGGTTTATAAAATGGACCCCTTAATTACACTAGGCAACAAATTTTAACTTAAAAAAAAGGTCCTGGTTAAAAATAGAATTTTTCGATTGTTTATGACTGAAATAGATCCAAAATGTTTTTAAAAAAATTTTCTGAAGTCGGAAATAAAAAATAGGAGCACAGTATTTTGGTACCATTTATTGCATAGATTTGAAAATTTTAGGATGACGTTACTTTTAACTTATATTTCAGCATTCCATGAACAACATATCTGTACATATTGTAAAAATTTAAGGCATATTTTTTTATGTTTACTGTTTTTTATCGTTCGAATTATTTTGTTTACTTATTTTTATTGTTATTATTTAACAATTTTTCTTTGTATCATGGTGCTGCCCGTATCGTCTAAACGAGACTTTGGAAAATTTTTTGGTCGCCGGATTTGCGTCGAGCAGGTGAAAATCTATAGGACTGTGCTATTTTTATTACCGACCTTTTTTATTTACTTATTTTTTATCGTTATTATTTAACAATTTTTCTTTGTATCATGGTCCTGCCCGTATCGTCTAAACGAGACTTTGGAAAATTTTTTGGTCGCCGGATTTGCGTCGAGCAGGTCAAAATCTAAAGGAGTGTGCTATTTTTATTACCGACCTTTTTTATTGACTAATTTTTATCGTTATTATTTAACAATTTTTCTTTGTATCTTGGTCCTGCCCGTATCGTCTAAACGAGACTTCGGAAAATTTTTTGGGCGCCGGATTTGCGTCGAGCAGGTCAAAATCTATAGGACTGAGCTATTTTTATTACCGACCTTTTTTTATTGTTTACTAGTGTTATTAGTTCACCTAATTAATAAAATTTATTCAAGTTATAAAAGTTAATAAAACATTTTGTTGGGTTGTTTGGTCATAATTCAATTAATTAATTAATCAATTAATTACCGAAACTTGTCGTATCGCTAGTTAAAAACATCGTTCGATGCTCCCAAATATGTAATTTAAAAATTTTCCAAATCAGTACGCCATCTATTATTTTTGTATTATATTAGTTGTTTTAAGAAGTCAACCTTTAATCATTTTTGACAAAAATTGTCATTCATAAATTACAGTTTCATCATCTACATACACTTTTTTATGATTCGTATTATCAAAATTTCCAATGTTTCAAAAACTACGATTTGCTCCAAGATTTCACCTCCATAAATTCATAGCGATAAGAAGCGATGCAACTTTTACAAAATCATACGATCTTCACTTATTAAGCCCTGAAGAAGGTCCGAAGAAAGAAGTTAAAATTGATAAGGATGAAGGCCTTAAACTATATAAAAAAATGGTTGATATAAGAATCATGGAACAAGCTTGCGCACACTTGTACACCGTAAAAGCTATAAGAGGTTTTTGTCATTTGTATGTTGGCCAAGAAGCTACAGGTGTGGGATTACATTCCATCATTGGACCTGAAGATTGCATTATCACTGCATACCGTTGCCATGGTTTTACCTTTCTCATGGGGGTACCGATGATTGATATTGTAACAGAGCTCACAGGGAGAAGGTCTGGAGTTTCAAAGGGAAAAGGTGGCTCCATGCACATGTACGCGAAAAATTTTTATGGAGGAAATGGTATTGTTGGTGCGCAGGTACCCCTTGGTGTTGGAGTAGCTTTTAGCCATAAATATCTGAATAAAAAGGCTGTTTGTTTTACTTTATATGGAGATGGTGCTGCCAATCAAGGACAAGTTTTTGAATCGTATAATTTAGCAAAATTATTTATGCTTCCTTGTATATTTATTTGCGAGAATAATGGGTACGCTATGGGTACACAAACTAATAGGGGGGCTGCCAACACAGATTACTATAAAAGATGCGAGTACATGCCTGGTATAAGGTTTAATGGTATGGATCTTTTAGCCACTAGAGAAGCATGTAGATTCGCTAAAGAATACTGCAATAGCGGGAAAGGTCCAATTCTTATGGAAGCAAAGAACTATCGATATTTCGGACACTCCATGTCAGATCCAGGTACATCCTACAGAACTAGAGAGGAAGTTGCAGAAGTACGTCAAAAACGTGATCCCATTAAAAACTTTGGCCAAGAGTTAGTGGACGCCAAATTGGTAACAGAAGAAGAACTAAAAGCTATTGATAAACAAGGCAAGACAATACAAGCAAAGTTACAAGAGGACGCATTGAAACCTCCGCCCCCTCCCGAAAGCGACTTAGCTTTGGATGTCATAGCTACTTGCCCTGGATGTCCTCTCAGAAACTCCAGCGTATTCAAACCACTTAAACATGGTTATACCGGTAAACCAATTAACTTTGAATAAACTGTTTTGTTAAAATAATATTTAAAAATTGCAATAAAAGCCACAAAGTATTTTTTATTTTCTAAAACTTTAAACCTAGAACCTAGACTTGGAAATTTAAAAAATTTAGAATCAACGTAATACAGTGTTTTATCGATTATTTAAAATTAATGACCGGTATATAAATCCAAAATTGTAATTTGTTATTTGTCCTTCATTAACAATAAAACCACTGGACCGACACTTTTTGAAATTACTGTGGAACCGGAAAAAATTAAACTACTCACCAGAACACTCAATAATGTCCTGGCCCTGTGTTGGTAAACATTATTGTAAATAAAGGATTTAACAACGTACTTTAACTGTCGTTTTTTGTTCAATTTGGTGTGAAGTTTTATCATGAAATTTATTTTTTCTTTAGAAAAAAGTGCATCAATTATATTGTAGGTTATTGGCACAAGATTGAACAATACACTTTATATTTATATTATTGTACACAATTTGTTCTCCTTAAGGTTTTAGATTTTAATAGGTGTTTTTAGATCTTTTATTTTATATTCATTTCTCTCTGCTTCAAACTTGTTTCATTCCGTTATTATGTGAAATTTTTGGGTGCCCTACTCTCTTAAAATGAATTAGTCAAAAATAACTAATTAGTTAATTATAAGTCATATTTGACTAATTGTCATTGCGAAAAAGCAGTCACTAATAATTAGTCAAATTCTACTGAATGAAATAGTCAAATTATTAGATTTAAATTTAAAAAAGTTTTGAACCAGCCGGGGATTGAAATCAGGTCTCACTTGTCAAGCTGTTGTCATAACCCATTTGGCCATCAGCCGCAATAAATATTGTTCATAATATTTTAAAGTTGAATATATTATTTGTGTTGCTGTTTTGAGCTAAACGTTTTTGCATCTTTATTTGTTTTTATGGGTCATTTTACCATGGAGCCTAGGTATTTATTTAGTTATCTAATATTGTAATATATGAATACCTATTTGACATTTGTAAAATACAGTTGTATTACTAGCAAGCAATAAATTATTATTATTATTATTATTATTATTCTTATTATTAATATTATTATTATTATTATTATTATTATTATGCATTTAATTCAAATAATACTTTGTTGTTGGTTGCAAACGATTAAAAAAATTAGTTACTTTTAACTCTCAGAAATAGTCAAAGATGGTGACTAATCTTTAATTAGTCAAACTTTAACTATTTACTTAGTAAAAAATAACTATTTAAAAGTGAAAACGACTATTTTATTAGTAAAAAATGCTGGTACTAATTCAAATAGTAGAATTTTGACTATTTCATTTTTAGATAGTATGCGAAGTCATAAAATAATAACCTTTTGGTTTTATTTCTTTTAGTTTTCTGGTGGATTGATCCCAAGTGCCTTGTCTGATTGTTTGTGTAAATAATTTTAAGTCATTGTGCAGGCAAATATTATTCCCAGAAAGGATGTTTTTTAAAGTCGTTGCAACTTTTGCCAATTTGTCAGCTCTTTCGTTTCTTTTAACCCCTATGTATATCGAAAGGTTCATATGGGTGAATGTTATGTTTTGGTTGTTTTGTTGGATATGGTGAATGGTGCACTTAATTTTTTAAAGGAGAGAATTTTTTAGGAATTTTTGTTTGGTACTTTGTACTACGCTAAGGGAGTCTAATAATATTAAAGCTTTTAAAGTATTATTAATTAATAATAATAATAATTATAATTTTTCACAGTATATACTGCTGCATTTTAGAATTTTTGTGTTGGTGACAAATTATTCTCCTACATCATAATCTCATCTTTTGTGTAAATAATAAGGGGGTGTTGAATTTCGTTAAAAATGTTTTTTTATTATTTTAGGATTTTTTTTTATTAATCACATGGTTACAGCAACAATCACACGACTTTTAAAATCCCCGTAGCCAACATTTGACACCTAATTGGTGGCATACAGATGGAGTGTGCCGAGTGACTAAAAATGGATTAATCACTCTGTATTTATAAAGAGGTATAAAATGAAATTTTAAAATAATAAATTTAATAAAATATTACCATAAAATAAAACAATTTACAATAATTTGTATTAAACCAAAGTCGTTTTGTAAGGTAAAGACAAGCTTATTGCTAAATTCTTTAGTTATAAATTGTGTGAAGAATGTTAAAATGATGATTGTATAAAATCGTATAGCTGCCACGTAAAAATTACAAGCCAACCGAATAATTTGATTAGTACATAAGATAAATGACAGGGACGTAGAAATGGGGCTCGTTATCTTGAAATATTCGTCTGTCGTCTAGTTCGTACTCGGAGTTACCGCAGCGAAATGCCGCTGAAACGGTGCGTTAGTAATTTTCAGGGCTTTAGGACGCCCTCAATTTCAGTCGGTAATTTGTAGAGGTAACTTTTCGTCGGCTGCCAAATACCCTTCGAATTATTTTTTATTGGTTCAGAAATAATACTAGTTTTACAAAATTACACAATTTGATTAAAAATTAATAATTTAACATAATATATTATATAGGGTGCTTCGTCGACAACATTTAATTCAAGTTATAAATATTTACGATTTCTTAGAAAAAAAATATGATTTTATATGCTAATTTTTAAAAACTTTTTGAATAGCCTTACAAGAAAATTACATTTTTCCTTTAAATTGGAAGTTAAAAAAAATGGATTTTATTTTGAATTTTTTAAAAAAATTATTCTTAATATTTTTTTTTAATTTTTTGACATTTTTCTTGACTATTTTTAATTAAATCCAGGGACTGTATGTACTTTTGATAAAAAGTTCATAAAGGTACTCTTAGATTATCTAACTTAGATCTGACTTAGATAATATCATATTATAATACTTGAGGAGGTCCATTCCAAAACTCGGCTTATCCACTTTTTAATAAAAATGAGTTAGTGGTGTCTGTACATTTAACATGTAGCCCCCATATACGCTGAAAAGGTCATAATATTCTAAAATTCACCTTATTCCATTTAAAATTGACTATCGTTCCAAAACTTGCCTTATCTATAGGTTATATGTCAGAATTGGCTTATACGTATGCTATTTTAAATTATTTCAAATTGGAGCTATACCTTTTTAATCAAGGTATATAAATTTTATACTTATGCCTATTTATTTCGTTTAAAGTATTCTGTAGGCCTGATATGCGTTAGTACTCACGTGTAAGGTTTTTGACATTTTGCTCAAAATCACCTAACATGGATAAGCCGAGTTTTGGTATGCACCTCCTCACTTTTTACATAATATTTATGTCGGATAGGACAGATAGCTATAGGGTGATTCCATTTATTAGCCACCAATGAGTGCACCTCATATACTCTAATTTTATTTCTTTTTTAACTGTAAATAGACATGGACCCAAGAAGTGAAAAAAACTCCCCTTTTCTTTTCTCCCTCTATCACCTATTTATACAGGGCTACGCAAAAGTTACTATGCAGACCTAACTTAAATTTTTTTTACTTTTTTTGATAATAAAGCTATCGACATTAAACAAACTGTTAATTGTTAAGAAAATATTTCTCTTTTAAACCATATAGGACATATTTAGTTATTGATGCCCTAAATGGTCTTTGGGAATTTTTTTAAAAATGCAATTTTTTGGCAAAATTGTCTAATTTTATAAATTCATATATTCTTAGAACAACTTGCCAGCAATTTTTTTTAATGTAGTTTTATACCAAAGATCTTACTCTATATAAAAGCAATGAAAACATTTTCAAATAATATTGGCTAAGAGTTCAAAAAAATATAATAAAAATCCATGTTTTCGAAAAATCACTATTTTCAGCCATTTCATGGTTTAAAAAGGCTATGTTTGAGTGAGTCGATTTAAACCAATTTATGCTTATCATCACATGCACTTAGTGGCCTCCAATAACCATTAATAAAATTATTGTGTATTTTGCTTTTAACTGGGCTGTGGCTGTATGTACAGCCCAGCTATAAGCAAAATACACAATATGCCCACCTGACTTTCAGCCATTTCATGGTTTAAAAAGGCCATGTTTGAGTGAGTCGATTTAAACCAAATTGTACTTATCATCACAGGCACTTATTGGTCTCCAATAATCATGAATAAAATTATTATGTATTTTTCTTTTAGCTGAGCTGTGGATGTATATGTCCACCTGTGACTATATCCATATTATTAACCATATATTATTAACCATATATTTCGAAAAAGCGTATTACATCTTTAAAATAACTTGACAGCCTTAAATTGACTTCTAATTCATTCTAAATAAAAATATAAAATATAAAAACCACATACAGTGGCGTCGAAAATTAACTACCCATTTATTTATTTTTTAAATTAAGAAAACATAATCAAATGTACAAAAAATTAATTAAATGACTAAAAGACATACTTTTCATAAACTTTATATTTAAACAAAATAAAACAGGTATTAAATCCTAAATTTGAATTAAACCTAACTGTATATAATTAAACTGAAGAAATCATATTCTTAACTTTTACAATCACCTAAAAAACCTATTTACTATTTTTTACCTCTAAAAAGTTATATGAATCGGAAAATTTTCTTATGTGTATAATGTCTATCAAGAGGAATAAGTTAACGACTTATGGCCTTTAAATGGATCGCAGCAGACTTTACCAAAAATGTTGGTAAAATTATATAGATACTTTAATTTGTGATACCTACGTACAAATATCGGTTACAGTTGCATCCACTCGCCATTCCCTTCTTTTTAATAAAAATAAAGTTCTACTTTACTGCTAATTTCTTATACTTTACTGCCGATTGTTGACTACTTTCGGCAGATTTCGGATAAAAATATTTTTTGCGATTTTCCAAGATTGAATCTTGTACTAAGGAGGAAAGCAAATAATAGAATGGCGAGTGGATGCAACTGTAACCGATATTTGTAAGTAGGTATCACAAATTAAAGTATCTATATAATTTTACCAACATTTTTGGTGAAGTCTGCTGCGATCCATTTAAAGGCCATAAGTCGTTAATTTATTCCTCTTTA